CCCTCAGAGAGCTCCTGGTCCGAGGTCTCATAGCCCAGTGGCAAGAAGACATCCAGCTCCTGCAGTTCAGCCAGCGGTGGGCTCGTCCCCTCTTTGCCAATGGGGTCCGAGAGGCGGTGGAGCTCCAGGCAGCCCCCGCTGCTCGCGTTGCAAAAAGTCTCGTAGGACTCCTTGATGTAGAGCTTGGTGAGGGTGTCCTGCCAGCCGGCCAACCTCGCCAGCTGCTTCACCATGTCCTGCTGCGCGTAGATCAAGTGGAAGAGCTGCAAGAGAAAGCACGAGGGGGTAGATCTGATGATGTTGCCCCAGCTCCTGGTAGCTTCTTGGAGGGTTGGCCCCTCCAAGGTGCAGGATGTTTGGTCCTGAGCACCCCAGATACTCCATAACCATGGAGGATGTTGTGCCACTTCCACGCTGGCACGTCCATGTGCTGGCAGCCCCATGCATGGGGAGTTACCACCCTGTTTGGGCATGGCTGGGTGCCCAAGGAGCTCAGCTCTGGGGCTACCACTCGGCCACAGCCGCTTACCCATGGCCCTGCTCACCTTGCGGCAGATGTCGAGCCGGACGGTCAGCTCAGCCCGGTGGGACAGGTAAACCACGGCCACCAGGTCCTTGTAGTTGGGGGGATCTGTGGGCAAGGACAGAATAAGAAAGGTGGTGGGACACGTCCTCCCATCCCCAAAAGCCACCAAAGACCTCCCAGCCCCAAGACTGGCTGAGCCTTGTGGGAAGCCACCAATGATGACCCCATGGCATGTGTCTGGGATGGGTGGCCAGGGCCAGCCTGATTTCAGCAGGGCACATTGTTGGACTTGATGATCTTAGAGGTCTCTTCCAACCTTAATGATTCTGTACCTGCCCCGAGGACCTGCTCCGAGAGGCAGCGGAAGAGCAGCATGGAGCTGGGGACATCACTGAGGAAGGCGATGAGCCCCTGGTACCCGATGTCCTTCAGCTTCAGGCGGTTCTTGCTGCGCTCAGGGACCTTCTCGTACTTCAGCATCTTGTAGAGAACCTGGTGAGACAGAGAGAGGTGGCCCCTGCTGCAGTAAAGCCCCTGGAGGCTTGGGATGATAAAAGGTTGGTGCTGGGGACCTGCCTTACCTTGAAGACCCTCTCCCGCACTTCATCCGAGAACTTCTTCTGCACCAGCAGCGAGAAGAGGACCTCCACATGGCCTGGCTCAAAAAGGAAGGCGAAGAGCTGCTCCTGGGCAGGCGAACCCTTCAGCAGGCTGTGGATCACCTCCAGCGCCCCGCAGACCTGCAGGACACGGGGCCGGTTGTCCACTGCCCTCCACGTGCCCCAGCAGGACCTCGGTGACTTCTCCCCACCTGCTGCCAAGCACCGGGCCAGCTCAAGGCACACTGAGGTGTTTGGGGACCTGGGTGGCTCGGTGCCGTACCTGCTGCTCTTCCTGTGCCCCAGCCACGTAGCTCAGCAAGTTGTGCATCTCCTCCCCGGAGAAGCTCCTGCAGAAGAAGTCCTTCACCAAGCTAAAGAGGGACGTTTGCACTGTCTTGATGTCGTCGGTGGTTGTGGTCTTCTCCCTGGAAGTGCTGATGGACAGACACGCATGGGCATTCCCTCTGCGGACGTACACAGTCACCCTCTTGTCCCTTGTCACCCACTGCCAGCATGATCCCAAACCCCACCATGAAGCCTGAGGAGCTCCACAACGGCCCAGTGTAGACATCCCTTCTGGTCAACACACTGGGAAAGGTCCACCCCGTGCATTTGGGACTCTGCAGGGTGTGAGCATCCCCAGCATCATGGTCGTGCAGAAATGCACAGGGTTAGACAAGAAAAGTGGATCTACTTGTTGCAGATGATCTCAACACCATGGCTTCAGTTGCTGATGAGATGCTGAGGGTGGATTTTGAGGCTGATCTGGGTGCAGGCTTGGGGATGGGGCATGGCCATGGGGAGTGGAAGGTCCTGCACCCACCACCATGCTCCCAAACTGGGAGATTTTCCCATGCAGGGTGGATATTCCCCCAAGCAAAGGGTGTCTACCCCAAACCACAGCTCCCAGAGGTGAAGCCCACCACCACAACAGCATCTGGGGGTCCTGGCTACAAGCAGCAGCTCACCCGTAGTACGTCCGGATGGAGTCCAGGACGTACTGCACCCCATACTTCTTGCGGATGCGCTGCTTGTGGTCCTTGACGACGTTGGCCAGATACTGGATGTGACCTGCAGGGAGAAGGTGTCAGTAGCCACGGAGGCCAGAGGGGATGGAGAACACCCCCAAAGCATCCCCAGTTCCCACCTAAGCGGACGGCAAAGTCGCTGTTGCTCCAGATGCGGAAGTCGAAGAGGAGATGCTGGTAGAGTAGGTGGAGGAGGAGCCCGCTGCCCTCAGAGGCCACTTGCTCCATGAGGATCTGCGAGGCCATCAACGTGCTCATGTCCAGCAGTGGACCAGAGACCTGCCATGGGTGAGAAGAGGCTTGCAGCCCTGGTGTCCCCCATGGGGAACAGCCCCCAGGACTGCGAGATGGAGCTTTTGGTAGCCCCCCCATACCTTTTGAAGGAGCACCCCGATGATGGCTGGCCCGTGGCACTGCACCAGGCTCTCCTGGTTCACCGGGTGGTTCTGGATGAAGTTCTTCACCAGCAGCAGGAAGGCAGCCACGCTGTTCCTCTCCAGCCTGCTCTCTGCAAGGCACAGGGCAGAGCCCCACCGGGTGCTGTGAGCCCTGTGCCCACCCCAAACACCTTCCTACATGGGCATCCTGAAGACCCCACCGTCAGCTTTTCTCTGCAAACTTTTCAGCCTGTTCCCCTCTTTCCCCCAAATTTAAGCCAGTGGAAACCTCCGTTATTCCGAGCTTCTTGGATATAAGAAGATTGGTACTGGGAGAAAGCCTGGTTCACCCATGCAGGAGAAGTCTCCTGCATGAACCCTACTATAAGACACCAGAGACTCCACACAAAGTCAAGCCAGAGGTTAAGCAGCTTGGAACCACCCTCTTCTTCCTAGAAATGCTCGTTTCTGACTAATTAGGTCACAACATTAAGAGATGTCAATGGTTTCTCCATTACTCCATGACTTTGGTGCTCCAGGTAAGACCTCTCTGCCCATGGTAGACACCAGCTCCAGGCACCACCCATGTGGCAGTGGGGTTACCTCCAGCCAGCCAAGCACGTTGACTCCTACTCCACATCCTCACCTGAGGACCTTCCCAGAGGGATGAGCATGCCTTGGGCGTTCCTGGAGGACGTCAGCTCTGGTCCCACCAGGTCATTGGTCTCCTGCTCATCCTCGGGCTCCTCCTTCTTGGACACCACTTGCTCGAGCAGGGGCAGCAGCACGCCCATCCCACCCACGCAGTTGACCACGTCCTGCAGGATGGAGAGAGGCGTTGCTGGGTGCTGCATGGTGATGGCAGCGTGGAGGAGGTTGATCTGCACCTCAGGGTCCATCCTGCCTGCTCATGGGCTCAACCCAAGCCAGGGAGAGCCAGGCCTGGTGGCTTGCAAAGATCGGGGTGTGCCCAGACCCATCCTACAGCACAAACCTAAAACAGGTCCCCAAAAAGTATCTGTTCGCCTGCACCACCCATGGACGCTGAGGAGCTATGGGGCAGACAGGTCCTTAGGGAACCCATCATGCAGGTTTTTGGTGGACCCAACATCATGTCAGTCCCTGTAGGGTCCAGGGGAACCCCCACAGCCACCCAACACCCTGTGGGGGTCCTGTCCTGTCCTCGTACCCAAGAAGGGACCCAGCTGCCTCCATGCCATGGGGCGGATAGGCCAGGATAGGCCACCCTGCGCCCAGCGTACCTTGATGTCCCAGTTGACCACCTTGTGTCCCGTCAGCCTCCCGTCCAAGCCGTGGCTGGGAGAGAGGTCCAGGCAGATGTTGTTCCTGCAGGCCTAGAAGAAAGCACCATGGGAGCATCCTCGTGCTCCAGGAGATGTCACTTATGGCAGAGGCTCTACCAGTGCTGTCCCCATCCTTGGCAGGGTGGCTCTCCTCACCTGTGGGGTGTAGTACAGCAAGAGCTTGCTGCCCAGCTCCACCAAGTCACCTTCCAGTGTAAACGGTGATGTGACGTTTGGTCCTGCGGGGAGAGGATTGGGGTGAGCTGAGGCATGGTGGAGGAGACCTCAGTTCCCACCAGCATCCCTGTAGGTGTCCCCTGCGTCCCACCCTGACGTACCTGCACAGAAGAGCGCCTTGACCTGTGTTTGCTGCAGGGCCTCACAGAAGATTGCCACGGAGCCCAGGTGACCCTCAAGGGAGGTGGGGCTGCCCCACTCGGTGTCCTGGCTGCCGGCTGCTGTGGTGGCCACCACTCCTTCTGTGGGGGGCTGAGTAGGGGTCCAAGAGTGGGGGCCCAGGGCAGCGGGGACCGATTGGGAGCGGCCGAGCGCAGGGCGTGAAGGGAAGAGCAGCTCTGGCCCATGGGATGCTGGTGGGTGACTGGTGGTGGTGGCCGGGGGGGGTGTGGAAGCCGATGCAGCAGGAGGTGAAGGACTGGAAGGGAGAAGGAGTTGTGCTCAGCTTCTTGCCATGAGGAGAGGGGTCTGGGTGGGTGCTGGGGGGCTCCTTTCACCTCATGGAGGGAGGGGAAACGGAGCTGCGCCGTCTTCCGCAGGTGCCCGTCGGCGTAGATGCTGACAATGTTCTGGCCAAAGGGCCGGCGGCCGGCGACGTGGACAACGTCAACGCAGTGCTGGGGGGAACAAGGAGGGGACATCAGGCATCCTGGGGTCCTCGCTGCCTCCCTTGATGGGGATGGGGATGATGCTCACC